GCCTGATTCATAACAGTAGCAAAACGACAGTGATGAAATAGCAACGAAAATAATGTTATGGTTGGGGATCACCCCCACATGAGGAACTGTATGAAAGGGTCGAGGCCTTAGGAAGGTTGAGAACCACTGCTCTGGGAGGTAGCATTCTAGGTGGGACTTGACTTCCTCCCTCCTCTTACAGCTTCTCTAATGACCCCTTCTCAGCTCCACCCTGCCAGGGCCCCATTGCCCTTGCCTCAACCACCTCCCTTGTTCCAGTCCAGCCCCCACTGCCATTCTAAGTCTCTGTGTGTGTGTTAACCCCCTTCTGTACCTTTGGCACATCCTGGTATCTTCCGACTCAGAGTTTCAAACTCACAGCCAGTTAGGCTCCCCAAGAGCCCCAATGATCCAAACACTTCCTATTGGTACCATGCCCCCTTCCCTATGGCAGTGTGTAGTGAATTTCTCAGCAACAGAGTTATCTGCTTCCTGGGCCTCTCCTCTCCCCTCCCCTCCTCTCATCAAGAAGAGAACTGATGAATGAGCAGAGGCAGACACACTTGGCCCCAGCGTCTCTTGGAAGACTAGAGAAATCTGAGAGATCTGCACCCACCTTAACCACTCCCAATCCCCACCCCATCTCTCATCTTCCAGGTCATAAATGGGATTGGCTGAAGGAAAGGAGTAAGCCCGACTGGCATCGCTCTCTTTCTCTCCATTCAGGAAAATGAATTATATATGGAGTCATAAATAATCCTCTGGTCTTGATCTCATACCTCACTGAGACAAAGGTAGATCTAGACTTCCAGAGACCAATATTTCATTTATCCAACATCAGTTTATTTAGCACCTACTTTATACCAGGTACCGTTGGCCACAAGAGAAAGCCGGACAGTTCCTATTATGAGAGAGCTTTAGTTTTAGCAGGGGCGGGGGTGGAGGGACATGTGATATGTCAGATGGTGACAAGTGCTTTGGAGAAAAATAAAGCTGAGCTGTGGGGGTGACCAGAAAGGAAAGGATGCATTAGTTATCTGTTGTTGGGTACAAATGACACCAAACTTGGCAGCTTAGAACACCAAATATCTACAGACATTAGGCTTTATTTATTTTTTCCCCAACTGGCTTCGTGGTTGATTCTGGCTCAGGGTCTAGACTCAGGGTCTAGTGACCATGTTGGCCAGGCTGCAGTCACCTAACGGCTTGATTGAGGCTGGAAGCTCCCAATCTGGCTGCTTACCTAGCTGTTTGTGGGCGGCCTCAGGCAGGTTTCCCCCTAGCACTGCTTCCAGTATGGTAGCTGGCTTCCCTCAGAGCGCGTGACCAAGAGAGAACAGGCAATACTTTTTATGATCTATCCCATCACCTCTGTCAAACACGAATTGTTAAAAGTTGAGAAGCAAATTTACTTGTTATTGAAGGGGAATGGGAAGTAGGCTCCTGGTGAAGGGCTACTTATCAAAAATATTGTGAGCATATTTTAAAACCAAGGTCCCTAGATGGTGCAAATGGTATGGGGTTTGAATCCACCCCATGATCCCTCGGCAGAAAAGGCCTGGCCATCTGCTTTAAGATTTCAGCTAGGAAAACCCCATAGCTCAGTTCAAAGGCAACCACCACCACATTTTAAAATCACCACAGAGCATAGGGTATTAGAGTAAGTATTAAGGAAGGACTCCATGAGCAAGAGGGGCAGAAAGAGAGCCATGTGACTATCTAAAGAACAATACAGTCAGGATCATGGATAGCAAGTGTAAACCTCCTTGGGGGGAGGGAGGTAGAAGTTTGCTTGATGTGTTGCAAGAACAGCAAGGAGGCCATTGGGCTGGAACAGGGTGGCTGATGAGAAAAGTGGTCTGATGCTTGATCAGGGGTAAAAAGCCCTTGGAGGCACTGACAGGACTAAGTGGAAAGCCTTTGGAAGTTTCTCGGCAGGTAGCCCAAAGCTCCACACAGATACAAGGACAAGGACTAGCAAGGAGGCCATTGCAGTACTTCAAGAAAGGGATGATGGGGATTTACGAATTGCCAACCCCAGATTATGAGCTGCAAATCCTAACCCCTGTATGTGTGGTTACAATCCCACTGGGGAATGCAACTTCTTGATTGTGTTAATGAACCTGGTGAGTTCGGGCCAGTTTTAAGCCAATCCCTTTTGAGAGAGATTAAACAAGCAAGCAGATGGGAGCAGAGCGATGATTCCAATCCACGTGAAGATTGCCCAGGAGCAGACATTCAGGTGGGAGAAGGACCTTTCTCCAGAGCTGATCAGAGAAAGCTCTCTCATTGAGTTGGTGCCCTGAATCCAGACTTCACGCCTCACAAGCTGTGAGGAAATAAATGTCTTCTTTGTTAAAGATTTTTATGTACTTGTATTTCTGTTACAGCAGCACTCGGTGACTAAGACGGTTGCTTAGCTATCGTGGTAGCAGTGGATGTGGCAGGAAGTGAATAGATGTTAGATGTTTTGGATAAAAATTTAGCAGGCTATGTTGATGGATCTGATGTTGGATGTGAGAAAATAAGAGGTACTGAAGCGAACATGAAGGTTTTTGAAGTGGGCAGCTGGGTAAATGGAGGTGCTCTTGAAATAGTGAACATTGCCGGAAGGGCAGGAGCTGAAGAAAAACGTATTTGGGGTATTTTAGATTTGAGATGCCTATTAGACATCCAAGTGCAGATGCTGACAGAGATGGAGACCGCTAGATAGCTAAATTGGAAACTCAGGGAAGAGATTCATGCTGGAGACAAAAATTGATAGTCAAAACATATAGATGGCATTTAAAGCCAGTAACATATAGTTGAGATCACCTGAGGAAAGGTGTGGTAGACAGACAAGTTTGAGAATTAAGCTGAGGGCGATCAAAGGCAGAGGAAGTGAGGATTCAGCCGAATTTGATGAACTGAGAGGTGTTTCACACACCAAAGGATGTGTTTAAGAGTAATTAACTGTGTCAGATAAAAGTTGAGAACTAAGTAGTGACCACTGAATTAGGAAGTGGCCCAGGGGCCTGGGAGCTACGGGAGGCAGCTCTGCCAGATGTGTGACTGAGCCTAGCAGTGTAGTTGGGTTCTAGAGGGAGCTTTGGAAAGAATGATTTTGCAACTCCTGCTCAGTGAAGTAGCCGCAGCCATGGTCTGCCAAGGCTAAGATAGCCATTTTACCTGAGCTGCGCATTTCAGAGCGGCAGATCTTGTTTCTGGTGAGATAATCAACAAACCAAACTCATTGCTGCCAAGTTGATGACGACTCAATAGGACACAGTCAAACTGCCCCCGGGGGTTTCTGAGTCTGTTCACTTTTTACAGGAGCAGAAAGCCTCAGCTTCTCCCTCTGGCATGGCTGGTTTTGAACTTCTGACCTTGTGGTTAGCAGCCCAACATATAACCACTACACCACCAGAGCTCCCTAATGAGAATTTACATGTGTATATCTGTTAATTAATGTTAACATTTATATAACCATGTTTAACATTCCAGGAACCATAGGAAGTGGAATGACCCAAGCTTGGGAGAAGCAAGGAATGACCAGACTAGGGGCAAAGCAAGATGCTTAGGGCTCAGGAAACAAGCCCAGGCCTCCTGGAATGACTCTTTAAAGTTCGCACTCAATGGCTTCTTGACGAAGATCAAGGGTAAGCTTTGCATCAGAGGTAACCTCTTGCCTCAGGCTTGTCCCAGCTCACTGGCTCCCTCCTTACCGCTGAGTAGTGGGCAGGCTTCCCCCTCGTGGAGAGACCCCAGAGAGGTAGGGGACAACTCCTGTTCTGGGTGAGGGTGGACCTAACTCCTTGCAAACCCCCCCCCCAAAAGCAGACTGAAGTGAGAGCAAGAGCTCTGTTGCAGCTCAAAAGTGGGTGCACACTGCCACCTCATGGCCACCCAGGGCAGAACGTCAGAAACAATATTCTGTCACCCAGCCCAGGAGTTTTTTCAAATTGTGGTATTCGCAACCGTGGTGGAGAGGACCTGACTTAACAAACTGATTTCAAGGTTTCAACCTAAAACTTATTTCTGAGGGTTGGGCCTTGGTCAGTGTGCTCTCTGCACATGATGAGTGCTGCCCAGCCACTGTGATGAAAGGAGGCATCCAGCAAGGGAGAGGCCTGCCCTGGCGCCCACAGCTCCTCCTGCTGCTCAGACACACAAAGAAATAGAAGTGTTTACAGGGCTTTATTAACATCGACGGACAGAGAATGCAGCAGGGGCAGTGTCTGGAAGCTGAGGTGAGGGGTGGGCAGGGAGGGGTGCTGAGGGTGCACAGCAGGCCTTCTCCAGGCCAAGGATGGTCCCCTGGGCTCAGGCCCACCTCTACAGCCCTCTCCCCAGTAGTGGACCCTGGGCTGAGGCCAGCCTATCATACACCAAGGGGAGATGGGGTCCCAACTCACCATTCTCCTCTGGTTTTCTAGCTAATCTGGCTAATGGGGAAGAGGGGGCCAGCCGTGGGCTACTTGCATAGCAGGGGAATAGAATGGGGATAAGGCATATGGTGAGAGCAGGGGCAATGATAGGGGGAGGGCATCAGAGCTGCAGGGAAAGGTGGGCCCCAAGGGCAGGTCCTCTTCCCCTTCACTACTCGCTAGGGCGAGAGGTCAAACCCAGGCAGCGTGTAAGGCCCACCCCTCTCCCTAACTCCAGCGCCCTGACTGGGGCTGGGAAGCTAAATGTAGGAAGGCCTGAGTTAGTGAGTGAAGCAATGTCTCCGGTTGAACAGGCCTGGCCCCCTTAATATGTATGGGGCTCCTCTCCTGATGGGCATGAGGGCAGGGCTGCTGCTCCCACCAGAGCATCAGTTACATGTGTTCCCGTGGGTGTCCGTGTTTGGATGTAGAAGCATGTATGCCCCTGCTGACACACCAGGAACTGAGTATCTGCATGGGTTGAGTGTGTTCCTGTGTGTGCACAGGGGCTCCCGGAAGTGGATGCATACGGGCCTGCCCGCGTCTGTCCATCCACAGCCCCTCCTTCAAGCTGGGCTGGTCAGGGTTCCTGGCCGAAGAGGTAGGTGGTGAGCTCAAGCCGGAGGCCCCGGGCATAAGCCCGAAGAGTATAGAAGAGGGTGAGGAAATCCTGGGTGCTGAAGACGGTGTCAGCCAGCGCGAAGGCCAAGGTGGATGGGATGACGCCCCGGCCGTACTCTACCATCCACGTGTTTGGCCCCCACTCCACAGCTGTGGCCTCTCCAGGTCCGTGCATCACCGTCTCCCCTGGGGGACAGGAAGCACCCATGATGAGAAGCCCAGCCCAGTCCTGCCCCTCCACTGCTGCTGATTCTATGGCCCTTTGACGGTCTAGGCTGGGAAATGGAGAGGGAGTTTCAGGAAAGCACCAAGCCCTGCCTCATTGGCCCCGTCTCCCATCTGGAGGGGTAAGAAGGCCACTCCCATAGGTTCCTCTGTGGTGTCACCTAGCCCGTGTCTTCTCTTGGGGAAGCCCTGGAGGGCCATCGGGAAGGGGGCTCACTTCTCCGGCATCTCACCTGGCCATGAGGGTCCTGACTGTCTCATTCTCAAGCCTCACCCAAGTCCAGCAGAAATCTAGCCAAACTCGAACTGAGCCTGTTCGACAGGGAGGCGTGGTTAAAAGGCTTGTCAGGCTTTCAGAGAAATGTAGCTATTGAATTCCAATGCCTGTGATGCTTGTATCAATCAACCTCAAACCAACTTGAAAGGTCAAAGCTCAATGTGCTATGTAAAGTGCTTCCTTAGAAAAGAACACAGGAAAAGGAAACCACCTTGTGCCTTGGGGTGCCGGGAGCTTGTCCATCTCTCCAACAATGACTGGAATACTGACCGTGGGAAAGAAAGTGCCTAAACCCAACCCAACCCATTGCCATTAAGAGCTTTCTGACTCATGGTAACCTTCTATAAGATTTCTAAGACTGAATCTTTTGGGGACCAGTCTCATCTTTCTCCCATGAGCACCCAGTGGCTGGTTGGTGTGAACCGGCAATCTTGTGATTAGCTGCCTAATGCCTGACTCACAGTGTCACCAGGGCTCATTCAAAGAGTGCCTAAAAACAAACAAAAAAATTCCCTACGGCCATTGAGTTGATTCTGACGCATAAGGACCCTCTATAAGGTTTCCAAGGCTTTACATCTTCAGAGTAGAGAGCCTCATCTTCCTTCTGGAGGGGCTGGGGGGTGTCCACTGGTGAGTTTAAACGAGCCAAATTGTGGCTAGCAGTCCAATGATTACTGGACAGCGCCACCACGTGTCCCAATGAATGTCTAGGCCGATACAAACCCTGGGCAAGTAACAGGAAGCTTCCTGTTCCCTTGGCCAGGTGAAAGCCACAGAGGAAAACCACAGGGGCCCCTCAGCCCTGCCTGACCCAACCAACCACCTGTTGGCTTACCTGGCAGGGGGGGGGGGGGGGGAAGGAGAGCTTTCTGGATGAAGAAGGGCCACCCCATTCTCATCACCTCCCCTGACTGCAGGCACACCCTGGGGGAGGGGATCTAGCCTGTCTACCAACCTGGATAGAAGACCTCACTTTTAGTAGTGCCCTCTCGCCACTGGTGGAAGGTGCCAGAGATGATGGTGTCTGAGATCTCAGCCCAGTACCGTCCTGGGAAACAATCAGATGAACATTGACATGGTCGTGCCAAGCATCAGAAATGAAGGCCCGCTGCAGCCTCCCAGTCCCGCCCACCGCTGGTACTGACCAGAGTGGCCACGAGAACCCAGAGCGGTGCCGAAGAGCAGCACGTACTCGGACAGCGAGGCATGCAGAAGGCACATGGCGCCCATCCAGCCACCCGCATTCACGAACACCCACTGCAGCTCCTCGTCGGGCAGCACATGGCCTGGATGCAGTCGCCGCAGCTCCACGATCAGCCGAGAGAAGGCCAGCTCGTGGTCCAGCCCTGGCGAGGGCAGAGGAGGGATGGAGTTAGGGCCGGCGCCGGTGCTGGGCTCGGGGACCGCACTTTCGGCCGGTGAGCCCCCAGACCGGCCCCGGGCTTCGCTCCCCTCCCTCCTTCCTCCGGGCCGGCCCGCCCCTCCCACTCACCCGCATACTGCCGAGCCAGCTGCGCGATCTCTTCGCGCTGGAAGACGAAGCTCTGCGTCCCCAGCCACAGCCAGACCACTTGCGCCAGCACAGCCGCGGCGGCCAGGAGCAGCGCGGCCCACACCCACCGCCGACCTACGGCCCACTGCATCCCGGCTGGCGGCCTGGCAGAGCGCGGCGTAGAAAGCCGAGGGCGCGGAGCCGGCGTGCCGCGGTGAGACTGCCTCCGAACCCGCGGCGCGCCGCCCGGAATCGCTCGGCCGCCACCACTGTGGTCTGGCTCTCTCGGGCCAATCAGAACCGCCCAGGCCTCAGGCCCCGCCCTCGGTCTGAACCATTTCCCAGCGAGAAGCTGGGGGAGTTGAGGCTGCGGGTCCGCTACAGGGTAGAGGGGCGGGGCCAAACGACCATAGCGGCTGACGTTCGAGACCCCAGGAGGATCTCTCCTAACGCGACGCTGCGTGGAATCGGTTTGAACTCCAGGAAGGTCCGGAATGGTTTGGCCCGCCTACGCCAAATAGTTGGTGATGTGGTCTATCCCGGAAGCAGAGCCTTTCGGAAACCCGGCTTATTAAAGCCTGCATTTGCTAGCACAAAACCGGGAATGAGACAGTTACACCTTGGGACATAAGGCAGACTGGCGGAGGACCCAGCGCAATGTCTTTTAGAAAGATGGGATTGTATAGTGAAATAGGCATTAGTGATGGAAAATTTAGCAAATATTGGTGATGGTTGCACAACATTCCTGATGTCATTGGTGCCTCTGATCTGTACAAGTGAAAGATGTTGACCTGTACATTCTATATTACAAATATAATTAATTAAACAATAAAAAATTTTAAGATAGGCAGGCATTCCAGTGTAGGGAACAAAGAGGAAAGGCACCAAGGGTAAGACAGCATCGAATCTCCAAACAACTCAAACCAACCCTATGGTCAAGTTAATTCAGACAGGGTGACGCTAAAGGACGGAATAGAACTGCCTCTCAGGGTTTTCAAGTCTGTATGTCTTTAGGAAGCTGGCTGCCACTTAGTTCTGGGAACAACTGGTAGGGTTGAACCACCCACCTTTTGGTGAGCAGCCAAGTGTTAAACACTGGGCCACCAGGCTAATATGGGTTCGCCAGGGACCCACAGGCCATTCGTGGTCCTGAAACACAGAATGTGAGCAGTGGACCTTAGGAACCTTGGGAGGTGGACCTCAGAGGATTAGACAGTTGCAGAATGATGAGATCAGGTTTAGGGCTACAGGATAGAGATTAAATTAGAGCAAGACGAGAGAGGGAGGCGGCAGTATGGTCCTAGTGAGGGAGGAAGTCCCTGCCAGTAGAGATGGAAAAAGGGAAAGGAGCTTGAGAAATACTTTGGAAACAGTTGGCAGGGTTTGATTCCCACTTCCAGGAATCATTTTTGTCCTCCATCCAAACTCTCCCCTACTTGGCTAACATCCTTGCTCAGGTCCAGTGGGCAGCTAAGTAACCCACTCTGCAGCTCAGAGCCGGTCTGGAGATAGAGTTTGGAACTGGCATTCATTCAAGCAACATATGTTTCCTTAGCACCTGAGGTAGTTTATTGTGCCAGCCTGGCCGATAAACACAAGTGGGATTAACTGAAGGGCAGAGAGATAAATGGCGTGGTGAGTCTCGCCTTTCTTGTCTCTCGTTCTTTGATCATTGGACCAGTGTGCGGCTGCCTTGCTTGTCCTGTGCCTCAATTTATATATCTAATGATCTTTATAAATAAATATATTAAATTATCAGCAATTTGGTTTTATCTCTCTAGAGAACCCTGTCTAGCACAGCACCTGTGTATGCCAAGCTCTGTGGTGCCTGATGTGGCCATAAACAATGCAAGTCTAGTGCTTATCAGTCTTAGAGATCTCACTAGAAAAGCCATAGAAAGGTGGTAATGAAAGCCTTAAAAAGTTAATGAAAAAAAAGTTAATAAAGTCTCACAGGGAGGAGTTATAGGAAATATCAAACCAAGGCTAGAACCTTAGAGAACACCGACATTGACGGGCTAGACAGAGGAAGATGAGATTGAAAGAAGAAGGGAAAGAGGCAGCATACATAGTACAGTGATGAGGAAAGACTCGGGAGGCGGACTGCCTCGGTTCAAAGCCTGCCTCCTGCTACCTGGCAGCTGTGTGGTGTGGAGTAAGCTATACTCTGTAGCCTAGTTTCTCAGCTCTAAAATAGGGTAAATAAAAAGTAACTCCCTCACAAGGTATATGTCTATGTATATATGTATGTGTGTGTGTTTATATATATGTAGATATATACATCTATGTGTGTGTTTATACATGAGGGTAAGTAAAAAAAGTATTACTATAAAATCACAGACACCTTCTTTATACAAAAATATGAAAACATAAAGCTATTGTTTCTCAACATAGCCACCATGTAGGTCTGTACACTTCTGAAGGCAGTATTTCTGTCTCTCTAGCCCCAAAGAATTCTGTGATTTTCTATTTACATCATACAAAAACTCACAATGGCTTGGGCATCCTCGAGGGACTCAAATTCCTTGTGTTCCTTGAGCTTTGGGAAAGTCTGAAGGCATGAGATCAGAGCTGGAGAGTGGATGGGGTGAGAGTTCACAGTGAAATTCCTGACAGCCCTTGCAGCCCTCTCTTCAGAATGAGCAGGGGCATCATGGTGGTGGGGAAAAAATTTTTTTTAAGTCTCCAAAATAAGCCCCCTTGATTGTACCAGGGGGCCAGGGGGCTTCAGAAAATCTATGGGAAAAATAGAATGAAAGGAAAATGGAGTTTTTCCAGAGACATTTCAAAGCCCTCTCATATGGCTGAGAGCTTGTCTGTAGTCCTTCGTTGGTGGTGGCAACCTGCTTAACGCTTTTTGTTTGCGCGAACCTGCACGCACATGAGCTGGTACCCTAATGGCAATACTTTTCGACTTAACCAAATAAACCCCCAAACAATCAAAAACCAAGACCCTCCCAACTCACTGCTGTTGAGTTGATTCCATCTCGTAGCCACCGTACAGGACAGAGTAGAATCGTCCCTAGCTTCAGAGGCTGTGCATCTTTTTGGGAGCAGACAGCCTTTCTTATATTTCTTCTGCGGAGCGATAGGTGGGTTCGAACAGCCTTTCTTTCTGTAAGCAGCAGAGTGCTTAACCTCTGTGCCTCCAGGGTGCCCTCTTTTGGACTGAGGTCTATCTTCTGATTTGTTACTCTGGAGAATCTTGAAGACAGTCTTCTACCAGGGAAATGGAAACGGAGCAGAGTTCATATTTACAAAGCAGTTATTGCCTGGGAAGTGGTGTGTTTCATGTGTCAGGAATAAAGGAGAAGAGGAGGATCCCTGGCCATGTAGTGGTTACACATTGGGCTGATATCTACAAGGTCGGCAGTTCGAAACCACCAGCCTCTCCGCAGGAGACAAATGGGGCGTTTCATTCCTGTAAAACAGTGGTCCTCAACCTTCCTAATGATGGGACCCTTTCATACAGTTCCTCATGTCGTGGTGATCCCCCCAACCATAACATTATTTTATATTTGTTGCTACTTCATCACTGTGATTTTGCTACTGTTATGCATTACCGTCTCAGAAATCCTTGGAGCAGTTCTACCCTGTGTTACAGGGTTGCTATGAGTTGGCATCGACTTGATGCTAGTGCGTTTCTTTATAAAGGACACCTGGAAGAGAGTTGCCCCACACATGGGAGTGATGGAATGAAAGGTTCAGGACAGTCATATAATTGAGAGGTCCAGTCAGATGATGAGAGATGGTCAGTGAGCTTCTCAGTAGGAGCATGTGGCAGAGACCATGCTATAGATTCACAAATCTCATTCTTTTTGCTCTCTTGCAACCAAGTTACACTCCACAGTTGGCTTTGTAGTTAGATGTCGCTATTGGATGGGCAAAAATGATCATGGCCACTTACAGGTTTGCCTCTTTCAATCTCCCATACAACAATTTACCTTCTCTCTCTTTCTCTCTCTCCTTGTCTATTGTTTGAGAAACTGAGGATCTACAGGAGAATTCTGGGGCCCTAGGAAATGGCTCCCAGAATGCGGCATGAAACAGAGCCCCCTGCTCTCCCCAATTGAACTGTGGTGCTAAGTCATTGAGTTTTGGGAGAAGGCTAGTTATGGTGTACTGTTCAAGCTAAGAGTAGAGGCTACTTATTTTGAGAGGCTTGGCCCAGGAGGGAAAGAAAGAATCCACTAGCTAGAAGGGAATGCAGGACTGAGAGAACAGGAGTTTGAACCAATACTGCTTGGTAGTGCTTCTGAGCTGACCATTCTTTAGCAAATGGTCTGGGCAGCAGAGACTAGCCCTCAAATCTGACCTCTGCCTCCCATTTCAGGAAGAGCCCTCTGGGACTGAGGCGGGGCTGCAGCTCTCCTGTGTGGTCCTTCTGAAAGCTTTTCCAGCTTACACGCTTTGAGGTCCTGGAAGTCTCAGCCATCTTCTCTTGATGCCTCGGCTGAAAATCTGCCTCTAGAATCTTTGCGGGAGACGGCCACCATTCTCTGGGGAGACCTAGAGAGGTGAGAGGTTTGGAGATGCTTGGAAAATGTGCCTGAATAGGGTTAGGGGGTAGGTGGCATGATCCAGGAAGTGGTACCAGTACTCTTGGGAAATGGGGATGCTTCTCCCACCCAGCCATTCAAACATCAAAGGCAACGAGGGGGGAAAAAACCAACTCCTATTCCCTCCCCCTCTATATCAGACGAGTGACCTTTTCAGTTTCTAGTCTAAGGGCTCCCCAGCAGACAGAGGTTAGATAAATGACCAATGACCTAGTTTTTGCAACTCAGATGCAAAACACCTGGTTTGGCCTGGCTGCGGCCTCCCTGCTATTGCCCAATCTGGGGTTCACTGCACTGTCTCCTGATAGTCTCCTGACTGACTGCTGCCTCTGTGGCCTTTCTTTGCAGCCCTAGTGGTGCAGTTGTTAAGAACGCAGTAACCAAGAGATTGGTGGTTTGCGCCCACTTCAGAAGAAAAGACTGGAGATCATAACCTTTTGGCCTTATGGGGTAGCCACGAGTTGGGATGGCAACCAGTATCTCTGGTATTACAGCTGTCTCCCAGGTCTAGGAGTTTCTCAGCACAGGGACCCCACTCCTGTCTCTTCTTCTAGGTGGCAGCGAGGTCCCCTCCCCACTTCTACTTCAGGGATGGCTCTTTTTAAGCATCCAAAACTCACTACCATAGAATGAATTCTGACTCACAGTGACCCTAAATTAGCCAACCCCCTTGTTAGGGTTCCACATCCCTTATCTGCATCCTCACAGGCTTCCATGAACCTTATTCCTGTGGTCTCACTCCCACAAAGGAGCCATCTACCTTATTTGCATTATTAGTAAGCTATCTAATCCCATTGGTGCTATAAGCACCTAATTTGCATTAAAACAACAATAACAACAAAACCCTCAGTGCCATGAGAGAGAGAGAGAGAGAGAGAGAGAGAGAGAGAGAGAAAACATGGGGCTTTCTTTATTTGCACCCAGTCATTTTGTGGGAATTACAAACCATAGCTGGAAAGGCCATATAAAAGTACACCAAGGAAGCACTTTTAATTTCATCCAGATGGTCCTGAACTCTTAGGACTTTAGATTTCTTAGAGGGCTCTTAGGGAGCCCTCATGGGGCAGTTGGTTAAGAGCTCAGTTACTGACCAAAAGATGGATCCCTTTGGAGGAAGGGACTGATGATCTGGCCCGATGAGGCAGCTGGGAGTTGGAATGAACTTGATGTTGATGGTTTGATTTTGTTTTTGTATAGTCCTTATACTCATCCCACTGGGCTTTGGAGGCCACTCTCTCTGTGTGTAGGAGAGACAGAGAAAAGAAGAACTAGATGTTTTTTTCCCAGACCTATTTCTGCTGCCTGATGGGAAAAGAGCCCTATAGGGGTAGTGGGTTCCATGGGCTTCTAACCACAAGGTTTGAACCTACCAGCCCCTGGGCGGGAGGAGGATGAGGCTTTCTATTCCCTTAAAGAATTACAGTCTGGAAACTGTAAAACTGGAAAACACTCCGGAAGGCCAACAAACGATCCTTGAACTGACTATAAGCTTTTTCTTTCTTGTTGTTTTTTGATTTGTTCTTAGTCAGTGGTTTGTTGTTGTTGTTTTGTTGTACATTGTTGCTTGGTTTTGCTGTCTTGTTTTTGTGCAAGTTATTATCTC